TAGATATTTTCCTAAGAAGGAGAAGAAACTTGGAATTGACAGATTCTACTACTGCTGTACCATAGTTCTTTGCACTAGAAATTGAGTTATTGATTAGGCTGAAGATTGCATCCAGGAAGTATCAGAAACTATTAACACAACAGTTTATAAATAAAGTTCCTCTCTTATAAACATCTGGCTATGACTTGTAACTAATAGTTAAAAGCAAAATAAGTTGCTAGGAGCTATGGTGATGCAGTGGTTAGAATGCAGTATTGCAGCCTAATTCTGCCCTCTGCCAGGAGTTCAATCCTGACTGGCTCAAGGTTGACTCAGCCTTCCATCCTTCCGAGGTTGGTAAAATGATGACCCAGATTGTTGGGGGCAATATGCTGACACCGCAAACCGCTTACAGAGTACAGTACTATGAAGCGGTATATAAGTCTAAGTGCTATTGCTATTGCTATTTTATATGTTAATTCTGTCTCAATGTGAAGTAGAACTATACACACACATCATCTACTATTGATGCTTGATGTCATTGCATCCTTTTATTAACTATAAACAATTTAAAAACCTCCCATTAAATTGTAGAACAAAAACATTATGCAGCTTGAATTTTAATTATTTAGGACAAAGATGGAGACAGGGCTGTTCATCATGCAGCCTTTGGTGATGAAGGAGCTGTGATAGAAGTTTTACATAGAGGCAGTGCAGATCTCAATGCTCGCAATAAGCGTAGACAGACACCACTTCATATTGCTGTGAATAAAGGTCATCTCCAAGTTGTGAAGACATTACTGGACTTTGGTTGCCATCCTAGTCTCCAGGTAATTTAACTTGCTTTAATTTAACTTTAAGTTATAATTTGGAGTGTAATATCAGAACATGGTAATGTTCAGCTTTCCATCCTTCCTTTCAGGATATATGGAAACGTCAAATATATTGAAGGTGATAGTAGATTGGATGTGATGTGGATGAATAAACTAAGAGCAGTGCTTTTGGTTTCTATAAAATCTGAGGAACAATTATCTTCTAAATGGAAATGTATGCCATTGTAAACAGGAATTATTTTATGGGCCTTTAGTTTTGTGAAATTGTTGGCTTGTTACTGTTATACCTGCCTTTGCTACCATCCAGCATGGTGATGACTATTAATATAGATGTTTGTCAAAAGGGACTGGAGAAATTCATAAAAGATCAGTCTGTCAGTAGTGACTTGGCTGTTCATTACCTCCTGAAATATGGACAGCATATCTCAAATAAAAGTTGCCAGGGATTAACAGGTATTGTCCACGTCTATGAATTTCCCAAATTCATATGATAGGCCATTATGTGATACAGAAAGCTCGACTACATGTGCTGTTGGCTAAATTCAGCAAAGTTCTTATTACATTCTTACATCAGGATATTACTTTTTAATTGAACTTTGCTGGGTTTTCTTTTAGATAGATGAGAGGAGACAGTCTTTTAGTAATTTTATTTAATTAAAATGTCTGGTTCTATAGAAACGTATTGTGTTATATGTTAAATTTGATTTTTTTACATTGTTTTATTGAGATACTAAAGTGGCATTTTTCTTTCTAATCTAAAAGGTAGCATGAAATGAACTTTCTCTGAAACTGCTTTCAAGACATTTTCTGTTTTCTTATTGCATCGATAGATCATACCCAGGAATATTTTCTGTAGGTGTTCTGTCTGATAGTTTCTGTGCTTGATGCTCCCTCTACAGTTTATGGCCTGAAACAATAACCTTGCCCCTTCTATTGGGATCATTTGCCAGAAATATGCTTCATCAGTATCCCATATCAACCTTAGCTTATATAGTCAGTGAGAAAAGATATATTAAATCACTTTGCTTTGGGGTAAGCAGTATAGAATGGATGCCTTTCATGGTATAAGGCACCTTAACATTTATACAGAGGATGTTATTTTGTTGTGTTAATTTAAGAAGTCAATTCAAAATTATACAGATTTATTCTGTCCAAACACTAATACATTTTTTTCATATCTAACTATTTTCTTCTTGAAGTTTGATGGGTATTTAGGGAGGGAGATAAAGAAATTGATATAAATTGACCAATATTTATTTTTAGGATTCTGAGGGTGATACACCTCTTCATGATGCAATAAGTAAAAAGCGTGATGATATTTTAGCAGTCCTCCTGGAAGCTGGAGCAGATGTTACTATTACAAATAACAATGGATTTAATGCTCTTCATCATGCTGCATTAAGGGGAAATCCAAGGTATTGTAAAAGTTTACTGCTTTCTAATGTTTGATAAGCAAAGTGTTATAGGAAAAATGTTAACATTAATTCAGAAGAGTTTTAACATTAACTTTTCTATAGCTCAGTAGTTGAAGTATTGAAATTATATTGTGCAATATAGAACCGATGTAGTGAGTATTTGAACAAATGCAGGTTATACTAAATTTTCCACATAGTTAATTGTTTTGTGTGCAGTCAGTTGTTTGTTCTCATACAACTACAGTCTGTAAAAGCATCATGAGGCAATCTAGAATTACATTTATTTCATTTTGCAAAGATTAAGACTATATAAAAGAACGTGAAAATGCATATATAAACTTAATGTGAGGCAGCATTATGACAACAAATACATGCCCAAGTTCTGCCCCATCACCTTATTAACAAACTAAGAAGTGATGAATTTGAGGCATGCTGTTAAATTGTGCAGAGGAATGGGATAAAAGCTTGCGGAATAACAGTGCTGATATTATGATTAATATACATAGGTTACAAACCAAATATGCAAAGTCAAAGCCAATATAATATTTTTCTTTTTCTGTTGTGATTTAAAACTCAGAATCACCCATTGAAACTAATTATGGAAGATGTTTAAGCCCAATAAAACAAAGTACTACCTTTAGCATCTCCACAGGATCTTTGACTTTTTGTTAAAATATTGTACTTGTGCAGCAAGCTACACCTCTGGGTATGTGACCAGAATTGCAATATATGAAAAAAAGGAGTGGGGCTTTTATCTGATCTTCTCTCCCTTGTTGTTCCCCCTCCCCAGCTCACACCACTGATTACTTTACAGAATGAATAATTAACAGAACTGTGAAAAGCCTTTAAAGAAGTGCTTTGTAACATGAGGACATGTATACAAAGCCCCTCTTTTCAAATTGCTAAAGCATGCTTGCAAAGCTTGTGCAGCTGCTCTTGACTATTTCCATATTGTGTGGTCGCATACAACCATTTGGCTTTGCTTTTGCCTCTTTCAAAGCAGCTGTATGAACCTTGCAAACCTTATGGCTTCTTTAATGATTTGTGAATAAGTGCTTCGTATGGGCTTATGCATATTGTGAAGCCTCTATTTTAAAGGCTTTGCCCAAGCCTTATTGTTAAGCTGTGGAATTTGCTGCCATTAGACATGATGGCTGATTTAGTTTTTAAAATGGTAAGAGAAATTCATTGAAATTAATTCCATCGGTGACTACTATTCTTGTTGGCCATGGGTGTCAAACTCAACGTGTCACGTGATGTGTTGCGATGTATCGTGACTTTTTTCGCATTGCTGGAGCTGGGGTGGGCGCGGCCTCTGCATGATGCAACCGGCCTGTGGGCCAGCAGTTTGACACCCCTGTTGTTGGCTGTTTGCTTCTTTTGGGATTGCAGCTGAGATAAAGATGCCTTTGAATTGAACTTGACTTCTAATGAATTCATATAGTTGGTAACTAAAACAACAAAGCAAAATTAAATTGTGAGCATCTTCCTCTGGGATATGTTTTGATTTTCTAGACTAGCTTACAGCCCTGGTATTTTTTGCTAGTCTTTGATCCTTTCTTCTGAGCCTTCATACTATTACTTGCTGAAACAGAATCATATGCAAATATATTAAATGTCATCTGCTGAGAAGCAACAACAGTATAGGACTATCACTGTCCTATCCATGTTTGATCTAATGCAGCTGGCTGGTCACTCTACACAGTTGAACAAAGAGTGCTGAACTGGACAGGCCATTGGCCCAATTCACTAGCACTGTTCTTGTGCCTGTGAAGCACATTATAACATGATACATTTTCTGATTTCAGCCACAGACTCATTTAGATCTGACTACTTTTAAAAAAGTTTAATTTTCAACCAGCTTATGATAATCCCAATCTTGTAATTAAGTTTAAAAGCTGTAATTTATGTCATGACTAGCTGGTATGTCAGTGTAACTAAAATTGCTCTTGCCCAAAAGGGAATTGAAATGAATGTATAAAGAGAACTATTGGCTGAATTTTTTAAATAATATTCTGTAATCATTAACTATCTGTTTATTTAGAAATTCTATCCATGTTTCTCTCTGACTAATATACAATACTGAAAGTTTGTACAGTATCTGAATTAAGATGATAGCAATTAAAGTGAGAAAGGTTTATTGGATTTAGCATGGACATGTCTGTTGTACCTGTCAGTAGCATATTTTGGGCATGCTTCAAGACAAAAGACCCAACTTTTAAAATGCCACTGAAAGATTCAGTGAGATGATCATGCCAAATTTAAAACACCTTTTTCATTTTGAATCTGAATACTGTGTGCTACCAGAAGAATATGTGCCTGTTCACAGAATGGCATTACATTTTGTAAGTTAATATCACCTTAATAAATCTATTAGAAGCCATAGTTAACAATATGTTATTTGCAGTGTCTGAAAATGCTGTGCATTGTTGTTTGGATGACATACTTAATCTTTGGCAAACCATGGGCCATTGCTTTGGCTAGTACATTTGCCACTTAATCATTCTGTAATAGTTAATGTGAATGTTATTAATAATGTAATGCTAGTAGTCATGAAGACTGAGGTTCTGTATTTGGATGAAAAAATGTCTTCCACAGATCCCTCAATTATGAAAGTAAGTAGTGGAATCAATGATGTCTGTATCTATTTGGCAGCGCGTTTTTTTAGATTGGAGTTAGCTTATTAATTCAAAACTGGCCTTCAGAACTTGGGTTGAAAACTACAAGGTAGTAGATGGGAAAATACATTATCCAACAGTAATTCACTGAAGTCTTGTGATTTAATGGTATTTTTATTCGGACTGTAGCTTAATTTATGTTTTAGAACAGTGAGTGTTAATTTAATGGAAAAAGAAAAGATGTTGCATACATTTTTGTCACCCTATTTGTAGTTGCTACTAATTTAATTCTTTATTTTGTTCATATGCAGAAAGTGAAGAATCAGCTTTAACTATATCTTGAGCTTCTATAGAAGATAGAAACATTTTCTATGAGATCCCATCTGTGTGCCATAATGGATAAAATCCAAAGTCTAACCCAAAATCCCCCAAATCCACAGTTAAAACATAAATATAATTCTCATAACTAATTTCATTCTGTATCTGTTATTTTTAGACCAATTGCATTTAAATCTGAAGATTCCTTAAGCTATTATAGCTAATAGGGAACGATAAATTTGTCCCTTTTAAAAACTTTCAGTTAGTAGTGATCACTATCTCATATTTTACTTTCTTACGTTACTAAAGTAGGCTAGCTGTTTCAACAGAGTAAGATGGTACTAGACTTTATGGCAAGCACAGCAATAAATATTGATTCTACAAACAACCCCATAGACTCATAAATACAACATTGCAGGATGAACTGCTTTCTTGCAGAAAGATAAAAGCCACATGTGTGGAGAAAATCTATAAACTACAGAACATAGATCATCTCCTCCTCCTCCTCCTCCTCCTTCCCCTCTTCCTCCATTTAAATTCTAGGCTTTTCTTCTGCTTTTTTGCACCTGGAGATATTTGAATATCTTCCTGTACTTGAGATTGTGAAACATCATTCGTTGCTTACATAATGGTTTTATCCAACCTGAGAATTGCCGGTTCTTGTTATAGCTTCACCCTGGGCATGGAAATGAATTTCTAGGAAAGCAAATGTGCATTCATGAGACTAGCACTGGAAGATTCAAGTTTCAAATACATAAATTGCTTTTATTGCAAAATATGCTGCTCTAATAACAAAGATTAACTACTGCATTTTTTTATTAATCCAACTATGTTAATATGTCAGGTTCAGGATTTAAGTTCTTTGTCTCTTTTTTCCCCCTTATGTGGTAAAATACTTTTCTGCCCATTCTATACAGTGTTTTGATACAATCTTATTTTTTTAAATTATATTTCTGCCCTTGGCAGCTTCAGCCATTACAGATAGTCACCTTAGGCAGTGAATACTGGAGTGAATGTGGACCACCAACAGCAGTCCCTTTAGGTCTTCCTTCTGTGTTCCAGGTTATTTCCTCTGTTGATAGCAAAACTGTTCATGCCATATCAGCTGTCTAATTAGTTCCAAAATTCTTAAAGTTCAGGTAAAGGATGATGATCCATCACCAGTGCTGAAATTACATTAGCTTCTGGTCTAGTCAGGTCAAAATACACAAGAGAAAGAGACTTCACAGTAAAATTCCTACAGTACATGCTCAATTTCTAATGCATACCTTTTCTTTTGGAAGCATAGTATCTAAGAATTCAGCTAAGCAAGATCAAACCAACATATTATTTGGATGGATGATGGCTGGGAAATAGTTGTACTATAGGCTACAGTGGGAAGTCCAAACTGGAAGAAATTAATGGTGAACCACTTCAGTATTCTTGCCAAGAAAACCAAATGAATGCATCTATAAAATCCTCAGGAATCAAACTTGTCTTGAAAAAAAGAAAAGGAACAAAGTTATGTTAATCTTCCCAGAATAGGTTCTGATAGTCGGTTTTGTATAGGCTTTCCCTCTTTAATATTCCTATTATGTAAAAAACAGTTGATAAAACCACTTGTCCTGTAGTGATCAATACACAGCTACAGCTGGTTGAAGGGGACCAAATCCATTAAACATGTGATTTGATTCCATTTTACCAGCTTAAGCAAAGCATTGAAAACTTTAATTCTGCCATCAAGCCTGGGACCCCAATTGTATGGTGAGCCAGTTTCTTGAGCATGATTATAATGAAGGTGTGATGTCATGAATGTTCTCTGCTGCTATTTTTTATTATTTATGTTGTTTCTAATTTCAATTATACTTCTTTTTTACTCTGGTTTTATTCCTATTTTAATTGTTAGATGCTCAGAACCATTTATAGGAGATGGTTGTCCATATACATTTATTAAATAAATAAATTGAAGTTTAGGAAGCATGCAGCTGTTTCTCCATTAAATAAAAAGCAGATATGGGGAATCATATACTCCCTTCTTTTAATTTTTGTTTATAATGCTTTATTTTTATATTAAAGGTAGGAAAAAATAAACTTGAAAACCTAAACCATCAAAGAAAACAATTATGGCTTGCAGTAATTCTCCTTCTTAATTACTTGTGTTTCTTGGGTGAGAATGTGAATATATTTTTACAGAAGTTTACAGAAAAGAATTAATTAGAGAACAGTTTCATAAGGTTTTTATAATTGTTCCCAAGTATAACTCTGGTTAATATTTCCAATATGAGTTTTATTTTAAAAGACTTCTTCTGTTACCAGGTTTGTTCCATACATATTTTATCTACATCTGTTTTTGAAAAATGATTTCACCATTTTTGGAATATAGTTATCATATTTCAGCATATAATTTAATATGCATATGTGTTTAGTTAATAAAATGGGATTCATTTTTAAGTGTAGACTAGCATTTTGTTTGAAGACCTGTGAACTGTAAGCCATGCTAAATTGGGGTAAGATTAATTTGGGCTGTAATAATGCATAAGTTATATGAAAAATATTATTGCAAAGACAGGTTTCTCTAAATATACAGTACATTTATGCTTAGGGTTTAATAGAAATTTATCATATATAAGACTTGAACATTTAAAACTGTATCTATTTTTGTCAATAATATGGGACTGCACTGGTCCAGCTGTTCAAGCATTCTTTTAGATGGCAGCAGTTTTCATGTACTGGCTATATCAGGGCAAAAAGTGACCATGGAAAGAAGTATAGCAGCATTTGATAATGTCAGCATCTGTTATCCTTGTCAGTCAAATGGTTGAGATGTCTGAATTACAACTGTGTCAGCAGATGTCCAGAGTTCAGTTTGTACTTAGAATTCAGCAGCTGACATAAATAAGGGAGGTGACATTTTAGCATGACTGATTATATTCAAAGAAGTATTAAGATTTGTTTTTATAAAGCTGCATGTATAATTTTATATAAGGCTTGCTTTAGTGCTGGTGTATAATTATGTTTTAGGCAAAAATACAAAGTATGTTATTCACTTTATAAACTATCATTTTTAAAATGTGACCCTTCAGAAGTTAATCTTTAATTTATTGCTCAGATGACTTATTATTAGAAATAGGCAGTGCTTCATAGAATTCAGTCAGGTTTGCCAACTTTGTTGCTAGTGAAAGCTGTTCTCTGATCATCAATCTGTTGATTATAGAATAAAATGTGTTAATGACAATACCAGTATTTATTTCTGCTTTGCACATTTATTCAATGAATTCTAATTAATTGTGTAGTGAAGGTACAGAACAATTTATTTTGCAGGAAATTTTTTAATTTCTGTTTAAATAACAAATGTATTGTTAAATTCTTAAGAACTAAAAGGGTATCATTTTTTCTGGCAGAAAAATCTGTATATGAATAAACAAGATCTTAAGAGATGGCAGTTAGAAATTAAATTTAAAATATGATGCTTAGGTGTCATATACTATAAAGTTTAATCCTACTTAGCCTACTTTGAATTTTCAGTCAGCAAACTATTGTATATTTTACATACTAACATCTTTTGTATATAACCAGTAAAATTTCTCTGTAACTAATCATGGTGGATTAAAATAAATTCTTTTTAAAATAATGAGATATTTTAAAAACAGGATTTACCTAAACAGTATTGATTTTCTTCTAAAGAATAATTAGGTTAATATTAAACAATGGGAATGCTGGCCTTTTAGATGTTCAATTATTCTCTGAACAGAATTAAATAAAAATGTTCTACCTTAAAGAACATCTTAATTAATTTTGCAAATAGGAGTGATACAGAATCTGCCAAACTTAAGCTGATTTACTTTCGTCTGATGAAATAAACTGTTTCAAAATATAGACTTATTCTGACATACAGATTACTGATTTAAGTTGTTTGCTGCAACACCTTTTAATCATAGGCCAAAGCAAAGTAAAACAAAAAGAAACTGTTAGAAAAAAGAAGATATAAAATTGTCTAATCCACACAGATTTCTAGCATATGTGCTGTTACCATCTGGCAAAAATTCTTACACTTTGAATATGTAAAGGCGGGTGAAGATTGCCTTGGCAGTTACAGAATAATATTTCCCCTATCGAACGTAATCTCTATTTGTTAAATAAATATGATATATTCAGATTTAATTCTGATTAATTTATATTTAATATAATGAGGAACTTTATTTAATTCATTTTTTTCCAGCTGTAGTAATGGTTTCAAATAGGTGGGGAAGCCATGTGTTGCAAGCAATCTCGTCTTCTTTTTGAGGATGTAATATCTCACAGGCTAGCACTGCCAAATAGCAGCACAATTCCCCACAGATTTTTTTCATAAAATGAAATAAAATAGGGGCATTAAGCAGCCAGTAGGCTAATTATGTCCCTGAAAGATGCTAAAGGAGCAAAATCCTGGCCCTGCTTCAGCTCAGTTGTTCAACTCATCTTCTTGTACATCAACCCAATTAAATTCTGTTGACATGCTTGCAAATGGGAAAATTAAAGGCATGCAGTGATTTTAGGGTCCCACTTTGCCTGTGCTACCTTAGTGCATATTATATTTAATTCTTTATCTGTCTTAAGACTTCCTATACATGAGAGCCAATTTACTCTAGTGGTTAAGAAACCAAGCTGGAGCCCAAGTGAGTATGAGTCTAGTCCTGCCTTAGACATGAAAGTGAGCTGGGTAACCTTGAGTCAGTCACTCTCTAATCCACCTCACAGGGT